TACGCATTGCATTTCTAATTAAACCTAAATTTCGTGTTGTTATTTGACATTGTGCACGACGAAGATTTCTACAAAAAAATAAAAAATAAAAAAACAAAATGAAAATATTGATTTTTGTTGTAAAAGAAAATTTTCAAGTAACCTTCGTGCTGTATGACATGTTTCAATTGAACCTTCTAATGCACTTGTTAATACAGTAACACGTTGTAATTCTGCCGTATATGATGAACTATTTTCAAGAACTAATTTCGATACACGTTTTGATACCTATAAAATTCGATGAGAAAATTAAAAAAGTTTTATTTTTATTTTTTTCTGTTTTACGAACAGCTGTTAATTGAGTATCAAGACGATCTCGACGTGCTATTACATCAGAAAGATTTAAAAATGGATTACCATTTTGTGATGAAAGTAATTTCTAGTTTGAAAATATTTAAATGTTGAGATGTGAAAGAAAAACAAAATAAACACATGTTTTTTCTTTGCTTACTTGAAGTTCATATTCTTTAGGATCGAAATTATTTTCGATATAATAACAATCTTCAATTGTATTTAATGTTTCACGATCAGCTTTTTCGCTTACGCTTAAAAATCCATGATCCTAAAAAAGCAAGAGATAATCATAAATTTATGAAGAATAAATATTTTTAGAGTTTTAGCTCACTTTGAATGAATCAAACATGTTTAATATCACTGTTTTTGCATACTCAAATAATAAATACTAGAAAAAAGAAAAGAAAAATTTTCATATTCATATTTTTTTTCTCTAATATAAAAATATAATGAATATAGTCAGAATTGACGGAAAAAAACACATGTTTATATCGAGTTAAATATTCTTTTTGTTTTTTTCGTCATTCTATAAATAACAAAAAAGACAACTGTTACAGAAAATATTTTATTACTATTACAAATCTCAATAAAAAAACAAATATTTGTTGATCAATCGACTATCAATGCTATTTTTGTCACTAGATGAAATAATCAAATGTGTGTAGTCAACCGATTGATTGACATTTGTCAATACATGTTGTTGTTGTTGTTGTTCATAGTTTATTTGAATCAAAGTACTATCTAAAAAAAAGAAAAATAAATAATTTCATCATAGACACATTGAATAATTATTAAACATTATGATTCGAAAATTTTTATGATTTAGATATGTTTGATTATCCTATTTAAAGAAATATTGATCATAAAATGATTTGTTTCGCGATTCGTATTATGATTGAATTTAAATGATGGAAAGATTTTGTTGATGAAAGTTAAATTTCGAATAAAATGTTTTTATTATTTCAAATATAAATATGACTTGTCAAATATTGAATAGATAAAAGATTAATTGAGTGATTTTTATTTTTTGTTTGCGAAAAAGGTAATGTCTTTATCATTTTAATGAGAATTGATAACAAGTTTCATTACACGAGCTACATCGGCAAATGATACCTGTTTGGTTTGTGTTATCTATGATAAAATGAAAATAATATTTGACTATATTTGTTTTTATTTTATGTTGTCGAATATCTCAAAATAAAATTGTTTCATCATAATATTTATTTTTAATAAATCACTGAAGACAAAAATAAAACAATGATCTGATGAATTTCGCATTGTTATTTTTCGAACAATACAAATATATTTTACAAATATTTTGTAATACTATTTTTGAAAAAAATATTATGTTGGATCAAGAATTAACATTTAAAAAAATTCAGGTAGTTTTTTTTATAGTAGCTTTTCTAAAGATTATTACTTTTTTTTTTTCGAATTGTGAAAAACATGCTTAAATCAATCACTACAATAAATATTTTATCGACTTTAAATTTACAAAAATAAAGACTTTTTGAAACATATGTATTTCATAAAGAAGATTTATTATATTTGTATTACTTACCCATATATTCATTGTTTATAAACTTGTTTCGTTTAAAAAATTGACGTTATTAATCTAGATTTCATTTGATTCTTTTTTTACCATGAAAAAAAAAATTGTAAACCATCGATGATTGGCTAAATATTAAAAATCCTTAAATCAATATTTTCTTAATATCAATTTCTTTTATAACTTAAATGTGTTCGACAACGAAGAGTTTTCAAATAAAAATCAATTGGTTTTTTTTTCTTTATAGAACTGATAAATTTATAAGATAAGAATATTAATATCTTATTCAGGTTTCATCTTCCATATAAATAATGTCCTTGCAAGAGGTAGGAAATAGTTGTGTGATGAAATAGAAGTTGTAGCGGAAAAAGTTGAGACTCTCCGAGGGGACGCTTCGAGATAGGAATTAAGCCTTCTTTTTCAAAGTGTAATTCAAACGTTTGTAGAGGGAAAGAGCTTATAGAAATTCTTCCTTTGCAGTGTTTCAGAAGAACAGCTTACTAGAAATACTTGAAACCTTCAAGGTAGATGAGTGATCCAAAACTGGTTGTGTTAGAAGGTCATGACTTCTGCTCTCAACACTTTTAGAAATTATCATTAGAAGAATCTCATATGCAAAGAATAATTATAGAGTACGTTTTCCGAGAGTTGACTTTAATAACAGTACTAACTAATAATGAAGAGCTTTCATTTATATTGCATTCTACTTCAAAGGTATATGAGCAATGAAAAGTCAAAAATTGAAGAAAAAAAAAATTTTGATTGTTACATCCGACAAGAAGTATCTTTTTAAAGCTTTCTAAACGAGCTGAGACTCTATCTGTTTACGTCACCAGTAGAAAGATGTTGAAACAAGTTATTCCTAAGAAAATAGGGTTATCCTCGTATTTATCATAGCCTGAAAACACCAAAAGAATTCCGATTACATTTGAATTTCTTAATTAATATAGAAAAGACTGTTGTTAAGTAATCTATTGTAGGATTTTATTGTAAAGTAGTAAGTAAAGATAAATATTCTGATTTTGATGACAGAAAATATAATCAAACATTTGTTTTAAGAAGAAAGCAAAAAACATGATTAGATTAGTCAAATATGTCTCGAGATCGACAAGTACAGTTTTGTTCTATAGAAATTTTAAAAGGAAAAAAAAACGCATGACAAGAATATTGGTTTAACATTTGGTAATAAAAAATCATGGCATCGATCTCTCTTCGTTTCAAGATATTCCAAATACATTATCTCAATGGAAACAAGCTTAACAATCGTTATTGTTCTTATTTAAAAATTAATTATTTAATTTCATTTAAATTAAAAAATATTTTTTCATATTCATTGACTTCTCTATTACAAAAAAAGAAAATCTGTTTAAAAATAAAATTTCATTTTTTTACCATTGAGTATATCGTGTTTAAATATTTAATTGTGAGTAGTATCTAATAATAATATTTATCGAATAGATAATCAACCATACTGAATATATTATCGTCTAAGAAGATTTTCTTTACTTTTACATTTGTTATTTTTTTTTATTACGATTGGTTCCTAGTATTGACAAATAAGAAATAATTGTCTATTGATCGCCGCTACTCACAATATCATATTATAATTTAGGTCCACAGAAGTGAGCCAAACATGTGAGCCAAAGTCAATAGGCTCATTTCATATAGAAGTTATAAGCCAATCAGATGAAAAGTCCATGTTTTACAACCATCCAAAATGATATTTTTCTTTTTCAACGCGATAGAGACATAATAGAATAGCAGACAATGTACATCATAAACATGAATTGTCGGTTTCTTAATTTTCTGTTTTTTTTTCAGGTGCAAACTTTGAACTAATTCAGAGAGTGTTGTATAATTCGGTGATTTTCGAATATTATCGACAAGAATAATATGATTCTACTTCAAATTTACATCTAATCTCTTATTTGATACTTATTTTTTTTTTGTTTTCAGATATAAAAATTAATCATTGTCAATGAAGAAAAGATTTTAAAAGTTATATTAGTGGCGAGATTAATTACTGCCAATTGTATGTTGACTGAATCTTAGAATAATTTTAAAACAACATTTATGTCGTAAGAATTCATACAGCTGCATGCTCACATATCGTGCTTATTTTGCAATATTCTGATCGTTATCAAATTTAAGTTTATCAGCTACTCTCGACCAAAAAAGCATAATATTTTACCTAATTTTAAGCTGAAAGAATATTGAGTTCATTTTATCTAATTTTAAACTTAGAGGATAGTGTGAAAAATTTTCACGTTCATATATAAGCAAAAGCGCTCATGTGTGTTAAATTTTGCTGCATTTTTGCATTTGTTACAAGTTATAAGTTCATTCTCCACTGTTAACACCATCAAGACTTTTCAGGCATGCTTATCATAATATATCGACTTGAGAGAGATGAAGTAAATTTTTTCAAACAAAGAACAAAAACTGTCGGTGTACCAAATTCTGTACTAGTTCTTCAGTAAGTAAATTTCTTGTCCTATTTTGTCATCTTACTTATTTTAATGCATTCGAATTGAAAGATTATGAGCAATATATAATATATAATTTGCTTTACAAAATGTTCTAAAGCTGCCTATTTTTATTGCGAAAATTATGAATGCTGATCAGTTTTGAATATGAAATATTGATATAATCGTGACTTCTCTAGAATTTCAAACAAAAAATAAATATTGTATTGTTTCTGTTAATGTAAGTATTTTTAGTCTTATCTCTGTAAGTGCACAATCAGTCTTTTTCTTACCATAGTTTTACTTATTGAAGCAATGTTCAAGATTTCCACTATTGTTGATGCATCAGCACATATGTCCACTAGATTTCCTTCTATAAAAAGTGTTATAAAATCTGTATTTAAAATTTGTATTTTATAAATACGAAAGTATTTTTTTTTATACATTAATAAACTTAAAGTTGAAGAAAATGAACTACAGGAAATCTCTTCCAACTGACCATCGTTAGAAATTCTGAAATGTTCAGTTTCAAAAGATATTCATTTAAAGGAAGCATCCTATAATTTGCTAGATGTAACAAATTTTCAAAACAGTAGCTTCTTTACTAGTTTTGAAATAGTCAATGATCATTGCCTGTGGTATTCATCTTTCTTTCCTCGAATATTGAAGAATCCAAAAACTTTTTAACAGAATGCAAAACTTCTTTTTATAATTCACAACTTATGTATTATTGTTTTGGACTTGACACATGAATTTGATGAACATTCTCCAATGATTCAATCAAAAATATATTTATCAAATTTTACAATGTGAAAACTTTCGATCTTTTATTTAATACTTTGTTTTTGATTTATTTGAAAGCCACTTAATTATTTTTCTGTTTTGTTTTAAAATATTGGATATAGAAGCAGATGAAATGTTCAATTTTTCAGCTAACCAATTTTGTGAGAAACGGTAAACACTATTTTTATCAATAAGTAATTGAATTATTTTCACTTAATGAAATGATGTTGAGAAGTCATTACTCTCATTGGTGTGCTCATCTATAACAAACAATGAATAGTGCTTTTAATGCAGCAGCCAGAAAAGATAAAGAATGAGAGGTAAAAAGTGTACGTTTCTTCATTTAAAGGGATTAAAAGAACAATTGAGACTGTAAAGACAATGTTCAAATTACACCAAGGTAGTATTCACTTACGGTATATGTATCTCTAGCAAAAGTCGCTAGAATGTTGTTGCTGAATTCTTTTCCACCATCTTATGTAACTAAAACTTATGTTCATAGCAATTTTTTTTATATTGTTCTTTCATAACTCATTTGATAATAAATGTATATTTTCGATTTTTATTATTGAAATAAATTGAAAATAAATCTTCGAACACAAAGCAAATTCGATAGATATTTATATTTATGAATCAATACTAACAAGTGACACTAAAGTGGCAAAGGCATTCAAAATTTGACTACTATACTTCGGAATAGGAGATTCTTATTTAACGAAATTTATCGTATGATATTGAGCTATTGTTCATCGAATATTTTGAATTCCAACTTCTGGATTTCAGAACACATAATCAATGTCAACCGATCATTTACTAATAAAAAAAACCGTAAAAATGAAAAGAAGTGAAGAAAACATGAAATATTAGATACAATGGAAAACAATCCAATCATGCACGACATCTTTCGATAGCTGTCTCATATTATCAGTCAAGATAGGTGAAATATGGACTGTGGATTCGACTTTGGTTCACGTCGAGTTTGGTTCACTTCTGACAACCTATAATTTATGTTTCATTTTCAAAATAAATTTTGTAAATAACTGTTCGAATCTCATAAATTTTATTTCATTTATAAACTAGGTGTAGTAATCTATTTATATACCTACTGGACAAACCAAAATACAAAATTTTGTTATTTATTCAATAATATTTTCATCTTCTAGATAATTGAAATTTTATTCATTTACTGTCTTTATTCAATTTTATCATATATGTCTGATCAACGGATGGATTCCGAATTGATTTTATTCATGGGATAAAGAAAACAATCATGTATTTAAATTGGGTCTATTTCTGCAGGAAATCGATGAAATATGAAAGTAGTATTCTAAATTGGAAAATGTCTGGATCTTTTTTTCTGTGATTTCCTGTTGTATTCGACGGTAAATGACTAAAAATCACTAGAAAAATCTGGAGACATTTTGGTATGATATATTGTTTCCATGTTTCATCGATTTTCGGATAGATACCATGATTCTTCCGATCAATTTCATCGAAATCTAGTTGTTTCCGGAGGTTGGAATTATCGACTTAAATAGATAGATTTTAGGGAATATAATGTTTATGGTATCTTTTAAATGTAATAAAAAATCTTGAATATTAAATCATTTTCTTTCATTATTGAATTATTAATTCTATTATTCAGACTATATCATCAAATTCATTGTGATGGTTCTATTCAGTCAAAATCGGTAAATATGTTTTCATTTTACATTCAAGTTATTAATAAATCATATCTTATGTCAATAATACCATTAAATTATTCATA